AGTGAGAACAAGTATTTCCTAACCCAATAAAGAAATCTGCACCAATCTGTTCTACTGGCTAATTTACTTAGAGTTGTGTGTTTGTTTAAATTATACATGCTATGTTGGGTCTTGCCCTTCCTCTATTTTTTTACAGTTCATGCCCGTAAAATGCCAACAAGGATTTTCATGGGCACAATTTCTTCTGATAATGAAACAGCCCCTCATTTCTTCTTTGTTTGTGTTCAGAGGTGACTACGTACTCCCAGACCCCCCGTTTTCCCTCAGAGTGTTTCTCTCCCCTCTGATTCCGGCTCGTGTTTTCTGCCCTTGACATTGCAGACTTGGTGACTCATGGTTTTATCCTCTTCCCTGTTTTCTTACTTCACACACTGTCCCTCTGTGATTATCCATTGCCCTTGATTGCTCACCTAGGAGCTGGAGCCCACAGTGTGTACCCAGCCCTGTTGAACTCTGGAGCTAAGACCTCAGTTGCTTCTTTTTGGACTTCTCTGACAGGATATTCCACAGACACCTCCAACTCAACATGTCCGCAAGTGTGCTTATTATCCACAGCTGCCCTTCTTCCCACCATCACTGCCAGCCCTCCTCTTCTTCCTGAAACCTCTTCTTCCTCTTAGACTTCAAGTTCCATCCATGGTCCCACCATTTACCCATTGCTAAACCAGAGCCATCCTCAGGTTATCCTCCATGACTCCTTTATCCTTTGAATCCAGCCAGGCAAGCTGTTCAGTCAACTCTGCTTCCCAGCCAGCTTTCACCATCGTCTGAGCGTAGCCCCTCCTCCTCCCCAACCTGCACCACAAGGCCACTGGCACTGACTCCTGCAGCCTGGCTTGAGCACACTCTCATCCACCCTAACACTTGCCCCACCCTAGCCTTCATACTGCTGTCTCCACTGGAGCTAACTCTCAAACACAAATGTGACTTTTTTTCACTTCCTTAAAACTCTTCAAGTGTTCCCTTTCAATTACAAATTCTGCCTCCTTAGCACTACATTCAAGGCCCTCCACATCCTGGCCTTTCTGTCTGCCTCTTTTCTTGCCACGTGTTGACTTGAATCTTTAACTAATCTGATCTGGGAAGTAACATGTGGCTTCAAATCTTTGGCCCTCTGTACATGAAATTTCCTCTACCTAGAATGCTCCTTCCCCTCATCTGCCTAGAAGATACCAACAAGATCATCAAGGATCTACTATATGCTTTAAGACTGTGCTAGGAGTGGGGACAAAAATACAAAGGTATGCTCCTTTTTCTAACCATCCAGCTGAAATGTCACTTCTGACGCTTCCCTTAAATACTCCCTCTCTAGACCCACTGCTTAGGCATAGACCTTTCTTTTCTTCTTTGTGCATACCTCTTTCATCACACATAATATAACTTTTCTTTGTCTGCATAGGCCCCCAGATCAATGCCCATAACTCTGGAGAGAGGAATTGAGTAATTTAAGGAATATCTGGGCACTGGCATCTGGTGGTAGGCAGAAGTCTATGAGGGTCCCCCAAGATTCCTGCTTCTTAGTGGGCACGTCCTGCCCTGGAATGTGGAAGCACTGTGAAGATGATGGGATTTTATGCCAAGGGATAGGTTAAGTCATACAGTGAAGGTGAAGGGGTTTTGAAGATGTAATTAAGGGTGGGCTTAGAGTTAATTAAAAGGAAAGTTATCCTGGGTGGGTCTGACCTAATCATATGAACACCTGAAATGAAAATCTAGTTCTTCTCTGGAGGGAGAGATTTGAAGCAACACAGATGCTCCTGTTGGCCCAGAAGAATTAATCTGCTGTGTCAGGGAGGGGGCCACATGGCAGCAAGGAGTGGGCAGCCACAGGAGCTGAGGGCCTTGGTCCTATAACCATAACACACTGAATTCTGCCAACAATCCCAGGGAGCTTTGAAGAGGAGCCCAGGCCTCATGAGATTGCGGTCCTGGCTAACATCTTGATTTCAGCCTCATGAGACCCAGAGCAGAGAATGCAGCTAAACTGTGCCTGAACTTCCAACCTACATAAACTGTGAATAACAAATGGGTGTTGTTTTAAGTTTGTGGTAATTTGTGATGCAGTAAGAAAAAAAAAACAATCTGATAGGCATGTGTTGAAATAGTTACTATTAATATGATCTTGGACTTACCCTCTCTGAACCTCAGTTTGCCCATCTGTGAAATGGGGGTAGTAATACCTACTTAATGGTATATCTGTGAGGGTTAAATGTGCCGGAAACTTGGTGGTACCCAGAAGAGTCAGTTCCTTAAAGGCAGGGGCAGTGCCTTTCCCTAGTATCCTTGATGCCTAGCACCATGCCTGCATGTGGAAAGCACTCAATACATTTTGGCTGAATGAATGCACAGTGCTCAGAGTGTCTTTAAAGAACAAGTATAAACCCAAGCTTTTCCTTCTCAAATTTTTGTTTTCTAATTTAGCACTGATACAATCCTAGTTCACCTATATGTGAAATTAGAACCATCTAGATGATCTCTCATGTGCCTTCTATTTGCAAGTTTTATGGTGCAGATGAATCTTGAGATTATGTCTGGGATAACAATCTTAAGGTTGCAAAAGTATTAGTATTCTTAGAGACTACTCCAAAGGAGGAATTAATAAGATGTTTTCTCCCAAGCCTCTTTCCTGAGCCAGCACTATTTCCCACTGCAATCAAGTATTAATATCCAGAAGTCTGTGTTAAGAGTTGATAGTGCAGTATTTTGCCAGGCATAAGTGCAAAATATTTATGATCAAATGATAAAGACAAATTTGGGCTCCATACTTCAGATATTAATATACAGTTCAATCATCCATATTCAAACTACTAGTAATAGGAGGAATATTATGACCCCAAAGTAGAAATAAAGAAGTACTTATATTTAACAGCTGATGAGATTTTGTTTTATTTGTATTTTGCTCTGAAATGGTTTGGGAGATTTAGTCACTGACACTTGGCAGAGGGAGGTGCTAAGGAATCCTGCTGTAACTGCCACTGCCGTGGTTTGTACAAATAGAATATGTATATGTGTGTATATACAGATACATATACACACACACACATTTAATTATAAATGTGATCATAAATATTGCCTTACTATTGGAACATTTGGCAACTGCCTTTGGACTGAGATCCCAGAGGAATCCTTGGTTGCTATCCAGAGATCTAATAGAATATTTATCTTCAGAGCTACATCATCAGAGTCTCAACATCAAGGAATGTCCCTGGCTAATCTTGCCTCTTAACAAGAGGAAATAGGAAAATGCTTTCTCAAAGGAGCAAGCCTTGGGTGGAGGGCCATGGGGAATTCCATGTTGTGCAGAGCATTATCTCTATCCTGAGGCTGAAGTCTTATATTAAGCTTCTCAGACCAGAGCATGACTGTGTTGCCCAGGAAGCTCTGATAACCTATAATCTGCAGTTTGTAAAGAATGAGGTCCAGGAGGAGTGACTAGTTAACTCGTGTGTGTGTGTGTGTGTGTGTGTGTGTGTGTGTGTGTGTGTTATGTTACTGGGCCTCTGGGCCTCTGGGTTGGGAAGGATGTAGGTTAAGGGGCTAACAGCTCTTAACCCACCCAGCTGGACAGCTCCCAGAAGACCCTTGGCTGTCCTAAAGTAGAGCAGGGGCAACAGAGGGTCTTGCCATGACTAGTAGAGTCCTGAGGGAGGAAAAGGCCTTATGTCACTGAAAATGGCACAGCTTTGTCCTCTAAGGGAGGAGAGGAACAGGTGAGCCTGTGCAAAGAATAGAGAAAGGGAGGTGGCTGTGACCATCCAGGGAGAGATAGGAGAGGCTGAATGTTGATATGTAGCTACAGATGTAGGGACCTTAGATAGGCTGTGAACCCCACTTGTCCACAGGGGTGCCACAGCCCGAGCAGCCTGGAGGAATCTGGAGCTCTTCACTGCCTACTGCTCCGACCCCTGAGGTCAGACCCAGGCAAAGCACCAGGTCCTAGGATGGCCTTGACTTATGGAGGCCCCGCCCTTCCCTTCCTATGCCTTGTCTCACTGAGTTAGCAGACAGACCCATGAGACAGGAATTGTTTTTCTTACAGGGATAATTGCGCTATAGAGGAAAATGAGTCTTAGAGAGATTAGGGATTTTCCCAGGATGACAGACAGCAAATGGTATAGATGACTCCTAGCTCAGGTCTCTGTAGCTTGACTTTCTTTTAACCTTGTGCTTTGTCCATCTGATGTTCTGGGGTAGGAAAGAGAAGCCAAAGCAGGGGTCGTGTCCCCTCCCAGGAAGGGCCCATAAGACCCTTCCCACCACCCCGCGTGCCTGGGCCATACCACAAGCCAGTTTGGGCAACAGTACGTGGGCTTTCCTCCGCCTGATTCCCAGTCAGGCTGTTCTGGGGGGAGCTTTAAAATGCCCTCAGCAGTGTGTGGTGAGAAACGGCATCCAGGGGAGGTAAGGGTCTGTGTTTGGTAGTGGGTGGGAAACACTTAGGGGGACCATCCCCAGGGAAGCCTGCCAACCCTATTTGGGTGTGTGGAGGAGGTCCCCCTTTCCCTCCACTCAGGAGGCAGGAAAGCCCAGGTCCAGGGTATGAATGGTGCAGCCTGCAAAGCCTGGGCTGAGCTACACCTCTACAATTGTTAGTTATGTGACTTTGAGCAAGTTATTTACTTCTAAGTCTCTGAGTCTTCACCAGTAAAAATGGGAAAAATAATTGCACTTCCCTTATGTTTTGAGGATTACATGAGATAAGAAATACAAACCACTTAGCACAGTGCTGACTCATTGAAAGAATTCCTTAATGACAGATATGGCATACCATGGAACACTCATTCATTCAGCTATTAAGCAAGAACTTATTAAATGCCCAGGCTACATCTAGCAGTATGCTAAAAACTCAGTACCTGGGGCTTTACCAACACTGGTCTCTTTAAAATCTAATCACACAAAGGGTCCATCATCCATAAATATTATAGTATGAGCTGGTTTTATAGACATGGAAAATGGGTTTTCATGTTTATTTCTTTCTTTTATTCCTCCTTTATTTCCAGCATGAGAATGTAGCTGGAAGCACATGGAATTTGAAGTGAGAGAGAACATATCTAGTGTGAACACCTGGGCAAGCCACCTCCCTCCTCCAAGTCTCAACTTCTCATCTGCAAAACGGGGAGAGTCACACCTTCCTATAGGATTGTTGAAAGGAGAAAATGGAACAATGGATCAAGTAAAACACCTGACTTAGGGCAGGTGCTCAGTATATGTCTTTCTACATTTCAAAACATTGGGATGGAACTTCCAATTTCTGGTCTAGCATGAAAGAAGCTTAGAAGTCACCACTCAATCCTAGCAAGTAAAAAGCCAAACAAATTGAAAAATTAGCAATGTCTTTTAGATCTGTAAGAGAAGTGAGGTCACAGGGCAAACTGCTGTCCCGCAAGTTGGAGAGAGTGACAGGCAAAGTCAGAGAATCGCAGCCACCAAGCAGAAGCCTCATGGGAGGCAGTGCCGGGCAGGAGCCTGGGCCGTTAGCAGAGGATCGCTGGGGGCTGGGTGGGGACAATTCTGGGAGTTAAACACTACAGGGGGACCCAGTCTTCAGGACACTCGCTCACTTTCATGAGTTTTACTTCCTGGGGTTCCGCCAGATTCTCACAGTGAATACTGGAAAAAAATTCCCTCATGCTCTGGCTGGTGAAGGGGAAAGGAGCTATTTTGAAATACTCCAGAGCATTCTGTTCTTAACAAGGTCTGCTCTCAAGAGCAATGATTTAACCAGAGTCTCACCTGCTGGGGTTTTATCAGACCCTAGTGACCTGGGAGAGGAGAAATACACAACTCTATCTGCTTTAGCTTTTCACCCAGGAGAAGGGAGGTATCCAGTCCCAGCCCCTCCAGCCCACCTGCGTGGGGGGAGCCCTGAGAAGTACTTGTGAAGGTCGCGATCCTAAGGCACAGGTTCACGAAAAGACTGAGACCCAATTGTAGGACTTAGAACACTTCCCTTTCCCCCACCTCACCACCACATCGGTAAAGGCCTATTTACAGAAGTTTCGTTCAGTGGGTACCTCATGTCTGGCCATAAAAGAAAAATAATTACAAAGCATAGTAAAAGACAAAAACAGTTTGAAGAGACAGAGCAAGCATCCTAACCAGACTCAGTTACAGCAGAGATGTTGGAATTATCAGACCTGCGATTTAAAACAACTATGCTTAATATGATAAGGGCTCTAGTGGATAAACTCAGCATTGCGAGAACAGAGGGCAATGTAAGCAGAGAGTTGGAAAATCTAAGAATAAAAAATAAATGATAGGGATCTAAAACACTGTAACAGGAAACAACACAAAACAAAACACAGAATGAAGAACGCTTTTGATGGAGTTAGCAGTAAACTAGACATGGCTGAGGAGGGAATAGCTCAGCTTGAGGCTATCTCAGTAAAAACTTCCCCAAACTGAAAAGCAAAGAGAAAAAGACTGGGAAAAAAACACCAGAACAGAATTTCTGAGAACTGATACAACTACAAAAAGTATAACATATGCATAATGGGAACACCAGAAGGAGAAGAAAGAGGGAAAGGAATAGAAGAAATATTTGAAACAATACTCACTGAGAATTTTCCCCAAATTAATGTTAGACACCAAACCACAGATCCCGGAAGCTCAGAGAACTCTAAGCAGAATATAAAGCAAAAAAAAAAACATCAAAAACTACATCTAGACATATCATTCTCAGACTAGAGAAACTCAGAGATTAAAAAAATGGAAAAAAAGCCAGACGAAAATAATCTTACCCATAAAGGAGCAAAGGTAAAAATTATATATAATTTTTCTTCAGAAACCATTCAAACAAGAAGAGAATGGACTGAAATAGGTAAAGTGTTGAGAGAAAAACACCAAGCTGTTTGAGGGCAAGATCCACGTCTGATTCATATTGGTATCCCACAGTTTGTGCCTAGCATCTGACATAAAAATCATAGATCCTCAGGAATGGTTGCTCAAAGAATGGGTAGATGGATAAACATAACTATGATACAGACCCATCAACACCTGCAGAGCATGAGTAGGAGACCATTTAGCAGCAATCATGGAACATAATACAATAGTTAGCCTTGTTGAATATTTACTATGTTCTAGGCATTGCACTAAGAGGCCTTTCATGGATTTTCTCACTTAGACCTCATAATAACTTGATAAAGTCAGTACTATTATTAAACCCATTTATAAATGAGGAACCTAAAGCTCAGAATGTTTAAGACCTTGCTCAAGAATGCCTAGCTAGTGCGTGGTCAAGCTGGGATTCAAATCCAGGCAGCCTGACTCCAAGACCCAAGCTGCAGGCCACCTCCCTCTGCTGTCTGGGAAGTTCACGCGCGGTTCACCAGGGATCTGGGGACTGCTGCCCATCCTCATCTGCGATTCCCACAAGACGTTGAGTCTTTAGTGCCCCTGTTACCCCAGGGAGGCATGGAATGACAGGAAACCTAGCTTGTGCCTTCCAGGGCTTCTGAGTCCAGGATAGTTCCCAGTCAAGCAGCACTAATGCCCCTTCCCTAGGGCTTAGCGGCTCTGGACAAGGCAGGTAGTGGTGGAGCCAGGCCCAGCTGAGAGAGCAGGGGCAGAAGGCCAGGGAGGATCCACAGGCCACAGAGTCTCTCCCAACTGCCTTTCCTTTGCTGATCTGTCAGAGCATGAACTCAACACCCCTTCCCCGGCTGCTTCAGGGTGCGTCTGAAAATTAGAATGCTCTTCTTCATTCATTCATTGAGTATCAGTTGAACCACTACTCTGTACCAGGCACCTAAAATGGTAAGTTTAATCACCTAAATCAACAAGAATAATGAGGGAAGAGGTTTGAGGGTGATGGACAGAGAGGGGGAGAGAGCAAGTTTTGATGTATTTCTTATGCTCATGCCAATAATTAAATCTTTTTTTAAGAAGCACCCTCCTATCCCTTAACTCTGCATTCCAGATGAAAGTAGATTAAAAACCTCAGTATTTTACTTGGGTAAAACTGAGCACTTGGCTATCCCTGATAAGTCTCACATATGTCCTCCAGGGTGTCCTGTGATAACCGACGAATGTCACACACCTCCTTTCCGTGTTTACTCCCGAATCAGCCCCCCTGCCCTGCTCCGGCCATCCCTTCCCGGTTGGCGGGCTATCAGCATTACTGAAATCCTGCCCCTGCCAGTGTTTGTGCTCTTACCCTTTCAATATCAGTGTGATGCCCTGAGACCCTGCCTTTCAGAATATGCCACAGTCCACATGCCCAAGAGCCTTCCATTTTATAGCTCAAGGTTCAGGGACCCCTTGTCTGCCCTTCCACTGGCCACCACTATGTTTATAACACACCATCCTAGAATTGACTTAGTGGGGGTTTGCCTACACTACATTTTCATAAGTACTTTTTGTATTTTTTAAGGCATATTCAGATTTGGCAAGAATGTGCCTTCATGTGCACACACATGTGCACACTATGTCAGTATAAATTATATTCTTGACCAGTCTCCTTGATCTGCCAGCACATGTCTAACCTATAGTGGCCATGGGCACGTCACACTGAAAGGCAGTGCCCTAGGATGAAGGACACTCTCTGCTGAAAGTGCATGCACAGGGGATATTCCACCCTTGGGAGGACGGGGTCTCAGCTTCCCTGAATGCTTGTCCTACCAAAGGATTCTGACAAGCTTTCCCTGGATCATTACACACCCCATTTATTGTTGTAAACACATATATGACATTGTGACCCCATTCCAGACCTTATTTATAGCAACCCCATCCTGAATAGTTAAGGGATAATTATAATATCTTGCCCTTTTGAAGAACCTTTCAGCAAAAGATTTCAGGGAATTTTACCACACAAACAAACCCCCGCCCTCCACATCTGACAAGTGGAGAAGCTGAGGCATAGTGAAGCCAGAGAACATAGTGAAAATGTGAGTCAGAAATGGAGCAGGGCTGTACCTTGTTACACCTGCTTTCTCACCTGAGGCTTCACTCTGCCATCACAGACTCCTAGAAAGGTGCTTCTTTATGGCTTATCCGTGGAGTAAGTATTGCTATGTGCTTTCAGATGTCTCCCCAGTGCTGAGGAGGTTGTGCCTCTGAGAAAGAAGTAGGCTTCGTAGGATGAAAAGGGCTTCTTGGTGAGCACTGGTTTCCCTGTGCAGGTCTATCTGCTGTCCTCAGAGTCCAGCCTCTGCATACTGTGATCTGGTGCCACACCTTTCAGCAGTTCACTGCGGAAATTTACTGCCTAGGAAGTCCCGAAAGGTCAGATCCCTTTCCCCCCATCTCCTATCCCAGTCTATGGCAGCAAAGCTATTTGGGGTGCTGGGGTCATCTGTCTCAACCGTTGTCCTCTCACCCCATTTCTAGGAGGAGAAGCTTTGTAAGCTTTCTGCCCTCCATTTTCTATGCTGCCTCCAGCTCTGTGCCTGGGTTCCCTTCCGCAGGGAAGCCTTGTTCTGCCCCACTCTGAAGTTTCGGAGCAAGGACACTTGCTTCTCTATTGAGAATGAGGCTTGTCCAGATCTCACAGGATTTAGGGTTTCACAGAGCTATGGGCACAGGAGGAACGCTCCCAAGGATGAGGAAACAGACGGACCTCTGATTCCACCAAAACAACCACTATGCTCAGCGGCAGCCGCTGATGCCAGCTGGAGACCATACCTCCCATTTTCACAGCAAGAAAACTGTATGAATATATTTTTACAAAGTAGGTGTGAGTGAAAGCAGGTTTGGTTTCCATTTTTCCTTTGGTAGATAATAAGCTATGAATGCTTTCTTTAAGAATATTTGTACATGTGCCCAGAGGTTAGTGAAAAAGAACATTTGATACAGCAAATAATACCAGCTCTGTGTGTTCTCCCGAAGTTTCCTAAGCTTGGATCCTAAACTGGAATAATTTTCTCCAATATCCTAAAAGACTATATAAAATAAAAGGCAGAGAAACTTGGTATAACCTAGGAAAGTAATGTTTACTAATCAATAAAGGAACTCCTCAATTATCTATAGATAAGTGAACCTTTAGGGAAAAAATCACCTTGAAAAAAAAATTTCTGAGCAGCTAATAGTTGTGATAAAGCCCAAGCACTTATGCATTGCTGAGAGGACGTTTGATCATTCTTCAGGGCGTATTAACTCTTAGTCTGCACACATTTCTACAAGCCATAGGTATTTGGCGTTTAGTCGTCAGCCAATAGGAATTGGAAGATTTGAAATAGATTG